CTCTGTAGTGGCAATGCAACTGCAGAACTCCATCTGGAGGGAAGTCAGGCTGGTTCTATTCCTTCAGCTCCTGAAAGGCAGCCAAGACTGTTTTGTTTCATATTGCCTTTTGTCCTTCAAACTAGGGTGACTTTTCTGATTGTTTTGGGTGTGAATGTTTTTAAAAAACTGTTTTTGAAAAGCTGTGTAGAATGTTTTTACTTGGGTTTTTTTCCTGTTTGTATTTAGTGTACATTACCTTGACAGCCCCAGGATGACTGAGAGATGATAAACAAGCACTCAAATAAATTGATAAAAATAGAAAGAAAGAGGCTGTTATACAAGGTAGTCATGTATTTCATGAATCTGGAATAATGAATGACTTTAACATTTAGGAGTTTATGACACCAGGCTTGTAATACACCACAGTTGTGTTAGTCTAGGAAACACTAACATACCAGTTTGGGAGTAATCGTTATCACACAGCCCATTAAAAGTGTGATGGTGTTGGAGTCTAAAAAGTTGCAGTATTTTGAGCATAATTTTGCTTGCATGGGAGATTAGTGCTATGGTTCCATAGTTGCTGCAGTCTCTTGTGTCTCCTTTATTTCTTGCTTTAATTGAACTTCTCAGCCCTTGTGTGATATAGTCCTTAAAGAATCAGTTCTACTCATCCTATGTTCTACAGCTGGGGTGGGAATTATGTGGCCTTCAAGATGTTACTGGCATCCTGTTGGTGAGCTCAAACTAGAGTAGACTATTCAATCAATTGTTAAATTATGACAGGTAAATCTAATGGATTTTGAGAGTCTACTCTAGCCAGGAGTAAAAGAGAATTGAGGCCTTAGGGGGGTTGCAGACGGTCAGAAATAGTGCAAATTCAGTCCACTTTTAGGGTTAGGGTTAGAGCTAGGGAATCATGGGAATTGTTTTTTTTTCTGAGACATTGAGCCTTCTCTGTCAGAGAGCTCTGGTGTCACAATAAACTACAGTTCCCATGATTCCCTAACCCTAACCCTAAAAGTGGACTGAATTTGCACTTTTTCTGGCAGTCTGCAACTAGACTACAATTCCCAGCATTCCTCATCACTGTCTCTTTTATCTAGAACTGCTGTGACTTGCAGTCTAAAAAATAATAATAAAACAAAATAAAAAAAATCTGGAGATTCTCAGTATTCCCAACCCTGTCCTACAATGTATGCATGGATCTAATACTTGAAATGTGTAAATGGGTTTGCAGGGTTCGATTCCTGGCTCAGCCATTAAATCCACTGGGTGACCTTGGGCAAGTCACTCTCTGTCAGCCTTAGAGGAAGGTGATGGCAAACCTCTTCTGAACAAATCTTGCCCAGAAAAACCCATAATAAGTTTGCCTTTGGGTTACCATAAGTGGTAAATGACTAGAAAGCACACAACAACAACAAAAGTGTGCAAAGGAAAATGCAAAATGTCAGCAACAGAGCAGAACAATTTGGAAGTCACTCCATCTATTGATTTCATTTACCCTCAGCTGTTTTTCCAAGGAGCTCAGCTGCAATTTTTAAGGCTGTCACACTTCTCTCACACAGGAACTTCCCAGCTGCAGACCAGTTTAGCTTTAGGTTGACTTAATCATATACCTGCAGACCATACTTTTCATTATAGTGGTCATTTGGCTGGATGATTTGTGATGTAATCTAAAAAGAAAAGGCACCAAGCTCTTTTGTACTCTATGCTTCTCCCATTTAGGAAGCAGAGATTTCATCACTATACAGAAGAGCATTAATTGCAGATTAACACTGCCGCTCATCATTAATGCCTGCCTCTTGGAGGGGTTGTTGTATTTCATTTTTATTTTTGGCTGACTAACAAACTAGGTCAGAATGTGTCCTGATAGTGAGAGATCTAACAATATATGTCATCTCCCTAAGTCAGGAAGGAAGGGAGTAGAAAGCTTACAAAGGCATGATGATTTCTCCTGTTTCATCTCTTATTTCTCCTGCACCTCCTTTAGGACCCATAGTCATTGTGGTACAAAATGGTGAATGAGTAATCTTCTCAGAGGGGCAGCTTATTTCTTCATAGAAACATGCTCAGTAGATGGGACACAACCCTGCTTGCTTTAGCCTGGCTTCTGCAAATAATGACCCATCAACCTAAATATAGCACATCAGCTTGGTATACTGGGCCTATCTGAGGCATGGTTTTTTTCAACCTCAGGAGTTTTTGGCCTGCAATTGCACCAGATCCCACCTGATCTTGGAAGCTAACCAGGGTCAGCTCTGGTTAGTTCTTGGATGAGAGACCATTTTTGAATCCCAGTTGCCTTAGACTATATATTTTAGAGGAAAGAACAGGCAAAATCACCTTTGCGTATTTTTTGCTAAGGAAACCCTATACAATTCATGGGATTGCCATATGTTGACAGGCGACTTGAAAGCAGGCACACACACACACATTCACTACATTTCTTGAAATGTCTCCTTCTTTTGAGAGCCTATGGTTGTTGAGCACTAGACAAGACACAATGTATGCTATATATTCCAACAGTTCACATATGAAAACCAGGGCACATGGGGCCAAGATGGCAAAAGTTATTAATGAGGGAGAACACAGAAATGAGGAGTGGGTACAAAAGGAGAGGAGAGGAGAGGTTTACTTTTGCCTGAGCCTTCTGGGAAGTGCACTATCCCACCCTCTTCTCTCTTTGGTCTCTTACTGAGTTAATTGACTACAAACCACTTTTCCCCCTTTGACCTCACTGAAGTAAATGGAGAAAGAAGAGGAAAGTGAGAAGAGGAAAGAGAGAGGGAGATTGGGACATTGTAAAAGCAGTTGAAAAAGTGGGAAGCCAAAGAAGTACAATTGCCCCTCCATTTTAGTAGACTTGAAATCTGCTGTCTTGATTACTCACGGAGGGGCGATCCCATTAGCAATCCCCATTGGCTCACAACACACGCACAGGGCCATGCACAGGAGCTCACACCCATTCAAGCCAATAGGGTTTGAATATGCATTAATTTTTGTTTTTGCGGGAGGGTCCGGAGCGGATCCCCCGCAAAAATGAAGGGGCAACTGTAATCGGAAGTGTCTCCGTCAAAATGGAACAGTTGGAGAGTATGGACCTAACAAGATGAATACAACATAACAGCTATATTATGCGGCTATCTTAGGCATGTCTTTTTCAGCCTCTAGATGTTCTGGCCTACAATACCATTGGCTGACATCCCTGAAATGCCTCCTTTGTTTGACAGCCTAAGCTCGCTGAGCACCAGGCAAGCTACAATATATAACCATATGTTTGTTTATTACAGCAACGAGGTATTTTTCATGAAGAGCTGTTCAGATACATAGTAGCTTCAAATGCTTGCATTATTTTATTGATCAAACCATGCAGTCATCCCTTCATTTACAATTCCCTACTTCTCTTTCCTGTTAATCTTCACTTCCTGCCTGAAAGTTTCTTTCTCTTCCTTTACACCCTTCACCACACTTACAGAGGTATCATAAACTGTTCAAGTGTAGATCACTTCCAGACAGAGAGATAAAACTGTGCAAAATATGGGTGTGTTAATTTGGAGGAAAATTTTGACCTCTGGAGGGGAATGAATTAAATGCCTGTCATTCAATGCCTGTCAACCAGTCAATCATGAAACTAGAAATAAATATGGGTGTTTGGGGCAGTGCAGAGGTAGAGTCCAGTAGCTTTTGGCAATGAGCAACTATTGCTTGCAGTTATGGAAAATGAAAGAGAATACTTACCTGCTTTCCAACTACTGCAGGGCCTACTGGTGGTCACTGACCCATGCATATAGGTATATGTAGCAGGGATCAGCCACAGCATCCTACCCTGGGTACACATGATGGTATACCCTCCAGCATTTCACATTGCATCTCCTGCTAAGCAACACCTGAATGTGGTCAAAATGGCAAAAGTTATTAATGAGGGAGAACACTTGAAGCCAGGAGATGCAATGGCAGTTAGCTTTCACCTTAGTCTATAGGAATGACAAGACTACCCTCCTCTCTTCTCCACACTGCTGAATTAACTGAGTGCAATGCACTTTTGCAATATGAACTTAGTTTGAAAGAACTGAGACAGACATCCAGGAGGCCGTCCAGCAAAATGAGGAATCTTACCAGGTTGGCTAAGGCTGATCATATTTTGCAATGACCTCTTTCACTGTGGAATGTGATAAACCTAAGCCACATTAAGGTGGTGGCAGTTGGTGGCTCCCATGTCAAGTGGGGTGGGGAGGCAGTGATTTTATGCCAGGCTTTAATTCACACATTAAAGAAGCTGTTCATGATGCTAAATCATATCCATACAATACATTCAGTACATTGGGCAGCTCCTTTAAAGTGATCCAAAGCCTGGAGAGGATTCACCATACTCCTGACAAGGGAGCCACCTGCCACCATTGTTTTAAGAAAGAGAGGAGGTGTAGGATCATAACGTTCAGAACCCCAAATTCACAATCTGCATCACTGATTTCATGCCCTCCAAGTGCAGATCCACAATTTGCTTCAATAGCCTGCTATTATGTTCATCAAATATGTGCCATCTGGACTCATGAGTCAGGAAAAGCATTCCTGGTTAAAAGAATACTGTTCCAGCCCATTGCTGAAAGCATGCATAATAAACAGAACATGGCATTCTCCTGCCACTTCCTCCATTTGCAGCACAGTGTAACTGGGTCCTGCACTGATCCCATAGAGAGATTTTTCAATTATTGATGGAAATTCATTTTAAGATGCCATTTTTGAAAAGTGGAGCACTGTACTTCCCCGCTCTCACTCCCACCCCTTGGATCAAGCTTTGACTCTTTCAGCTTCACCAACAGACAGCAGTAGCACAGCTTCATCATAGGATACAGCTTTGGAAGGGTCCCTGCCACAGAAATGGTAGAGCTAGTGAGCCAGTAAGCTAGCAGGGGGCATGAAGTTCTAATCTCTTCTTCTCATCATTCATTTATGTACTGAGTAACGGTCTCTGCTCATTGTAACTGGTTAGTAAGAATCTCCTATTCTGCATGGTGGGAGCCAGTGTGGTGTAGTGGTTTGAGCATTGGACTATGATTCTGGAGAGCAGGGTTCGAATTCCTGCTTGGCCATGGAAACCCACTGAGTGATCTTGGACAAGTCACATACTGTCAGCCTCAGAAAACCCAGTGATAGGTTCAGCATAAGGTCATCATAAATCAGAAATGACTTAAAGGCATACAACAAAATTTTTGCAAGGTGGTGATGGAAATCATACAGCCCTCCAGATGCTGTTAAATTGTAATCTCTAGTCTTCATAGCCAATTATGAGGAATTCAGGAGTCGTAGTCCAACCACATCTGAACAGCTCCATGATTTCCATACCTCTATAGTGACACAGTGGTTAAATGCCAGTATTGCAGCCACAAGGT